GGAGGAGGAGCAGGAGGAGGAGAAGGAGGAGGAGGAGGAGCAGGAGGAGGAGCAGGAAGCAGCCCAAGCCTGGGCGATGGAGGACAGAAACCACACAGAGGGTGCCCCCGTCCTTCCCCTCTCCCTGGTCCTCCTCCCTGCAGACCTTAGCTCCCCTCTGGTCCGGGAACATCCAACAAGGCAGAAATGAAGGTGACTTGCACAGTCCCAGAGAGCTGCGGAAGGGGACGGAGACAGGGAGGGTCACCTGGTGCTGACCATGGCGTGGCTTTGGGGGACGGTGGGTGGAGAGCACAGCCCTCAGGGTGCAGGTGGGGTTTGGAGGAGGGACAGACTCAAAGATGGTTGTCAGAAGACCAAGTCCCTGGGGAGCCTGCCCTGGTCTGTGCCTTCACCACGGTGTGGCCTTGGGGAGCCTGGCAGAGCAGCAGGGGCTGGGAGGGACAGCCGTGTGCAGGGCAGGCAGAGGGGACCGGGTGGGGGTGGAGGCAGAGAGGCCAGTTGCTCACCCGCTGTCCCTTCAGGCCTTCAGGCTGAGAAGGACGGCGTGCCTGTGTTCAAGTTTCCCCGGTGGCGGTCTCGGGGACAGGCCCTGCCCGACGTGGTGGCCAAATACCAGGCTCTGGGCGCCGAGCTCAACGTCCTCCCGTTCTGCAGCCAGTTCATTCCCATGGAGGTCATCAGCGCCCCCCGACACGGCTCCATCATATACCACCCGTCTCTGCTCCCCAGGCACCGAGGGGCGTCGGCCATCAACTGGTGAGATGGGGTCAAAAACACTGGGGGGGCCAGGCAGGCACCTGAAATCCATTGGCCCCGGAGGCTGAGGCAGGAGGATCGCAAATTGGAGGCCAGCCTCACACAACTTAGTGAGGCCCTAAGCAACTCAGCGAGACCCTGGCTCTAAATAAAATATAAAAGGGGCTGGGGACGGGGCTTAGGGGTTAAGTGCCCCTGGATTCAATCCCCAGGACCAGGAAGGAACCAGTTGGGCTGTGAGGTCAAGCCACATAAGACACCCAGAGCGTCTTGCAGGACATCTGACACAGGCGGGGTCCTAGGGACCTTTTCCTTCCCCTTCCGGCTGGAACAGCTATCATGCTTCTTAGGGACAGCGTGGGGCCAGCTACAGGGTAGCAGGAGCCGTGGGGTGGACAGCCAGAGATCCTGGGACCCTGCCTTTCAGACTCAGTGTCACCCTCGCGCTTCCCAGGACCCTCATCCATGGCGATAAGAAAGGGGGCTTCACCATCTTCTGGGCGGACGACGGCCTGGACACGGGGGACCTTCTGCTGCAGAAGGAATGCGAGGTGCTTCCCGATGACACCGTGAGCACCTTGTACAACCGCTTCCTCTTCCCCGAAGGCATCAAAGGGATGGTAAGGCCTGGGTGCTGCCAGCCCTGGCCCTGCCCACCACACC